TAACTTCTTTTCTTTTGTGTTTCTTATGTTTATGCTTATGTTTATGTTTTTTATCCTTGTCTTCTTCTGAGGAATGTTTATGTTTCTTATGTTTACTTCTGTGTTTATGTTTCTTTTTTTTGTGACGACTGTGCTTATTTTGAGATTGGTCTTCTGATACTTCTCCATTTTCTTCATTTATACTCTTTTCAGAATTATCAGCATCTTCCAGCCTGTAAATGCAGGAAACACATTTTATTTCTCTATTTTTTCTTTAACTTGTTGCTCACGGTTGCACCCACAAAGTATTAGAGCAAACAAATAATGGGGTAGATTGGGAGACAAATCTCCTTTTCCAACTTGAAGTTCAGAAAACTTCCTCTATAATAAATCTAGCAGGTCATTTGTTTTGAGCATATTTCACCCAATCAACCCTTGCACACCCTGAAAAAAATATCTTGAGCCAATAATGAGCTGGTCCCAAAATAAACAATCAATGTACACTGCTGATGTTGGCAGATTAAAATATCCCCAAGGGTTAAAACTTCAAAGAAAAGTAACAGGAGTGAGGACTCTTGACCTTAGCTGCCACAAAGCAACTATGTGACATTAAAGAACATTTTACAAATCAACTACACTTTAGTTTAAGCAATTTTATATGGTTTGACTCAATATTTGTTCAAATTATTTAATCTTTCTGATTTCCAAATGAGACATTGGTTTCTCAAACTATGTTCATATTATCAGGTGCTATGCAAAACCAAAACAAAGCCAAGGGAAGTTGTGTGCTTACATGTTTGAGTTGTACTGGGTTTAAGAGTTTGATTCTAAATTTATTAAGCCCACAGTGCTTAGTAATTCCAGGTTAACTACATGTTCAACAGTATTACAGATGCTCTTTGACTTATGATGGGGTTATGCCTTGATAAGCCCACCCTAAATTCAAAACATTCTTTTTATAAAATATAACTTATACACCAACCTTACTAAATGCTATACTTAATTTTCCCCTTTAAAGTGATTTCATAATAAATCATATCCTAAAATAAGATCCAAAACAAAACTTTAAACTGGATTCAGGACATCACACTATTTTTAGAGGAAGATATGGATTATTTTGTTAAGGCTTCAAATGATATATTCTGTTATAGCCAAGTGATTCCAGACTGAAAACTCTGTACCAATGAGCCAAAATTGTTGTAAGAGCTCACAAGCTTATTCAGCAATCCTTGAGTTTTTTTTTTGGCACGGGGTGGGAGGTGATACTGGGGATTGAACCCAGTGGCAAGCTATATCCCTGTCTCAAGAAAATTTAGGCAGTGTCTAAGTTGCCCACTCTGGCCTTGAACTTGTGATCTTTTTAACTCAGACAGCTGAGAAGCTGGGATTACAAGGTATGCACTACTGAGCCAACTTGTAGTTAAAAAAAAAAAAAAAAAAAAGATCACCACAGTAGGCATTAAGCTAGGTATCAGGTAAACAATAATATACAAAACAATTATCTGCCTTCCTCAAGGAAATTACAGTTCAGTGGAATACAAAGTTACATGACATAACCATAATACACTGAGGGACTGCAATGATAATGATGAAGGCACAAATAAAGGCATTAGTGGGGAAACACTGAAGGATCACTTAAAACTTTTTTAGAAATGGTCAGGGGTGTATTTTGTAGATCACAGAAAAGAAACCCAAAGTGATTTATTAAGTAGGGACTTTGAAGAAAGAGAAAAGCTGTTAACTGAGAAGTGTTGATTTAAAAATAAAAGCTAAGTATGACTGTTCTAAAGAAAAGTGAATTTAAAAGAATTTCAGAGAGAAAAGTTGCAAAAAACTTAATCATACACAGCAAACTATAAACAGACCATGTGACTAGGACATCAGACTTGTAGAAGAACATGGTCTAAGAGAAGCCAAGATCTCCAAGTTGATCAATTCCAGGAGACAAAATAAGTTGATTTTGGGAGTGAGAGGTTGAGATAGAACTAAAAGCTCTCTAGAGTCACAGAGGCCCAGGAACTGCAAGACTAGGCAGCTGGTGGGATTGTTTATTAAGGCACTGACATTTCTGAGAATTACAGCAGGAGTTAGGTATAGAGTGTGGTCCTCCAGTCAGGTCTCAGTCTTCAATAAACATGGGGTGGCTGTAAGGGTGTGGAAAATGGAGATATGACTGAGAATTATTAGGTGACAAAGGGGRAGTGCAGTGGAGAACACATAGCCACCACCAGACATCAAATGCAAAGAACTTTTATTCTTTGCCAATCTCCATCTTTGGTACCAGAGTATGGGAAAGCAAACAGTAGTGACAGATGTGCAGAGGAAGCTGTGTCCTATGATAAAACATCAGGTTTTAACCTGGGCCAACTCTAATGGAGTATGAGAAAATAAAGGAGAAATACTAGTGTTCTCTGGATCATTATTTTTTCCTCAAAGACCTGGAAAAAGAAAATGCAGTATCTTTGTACACACAACAACAAAACGCCAACACTGCTCTTTTACAGAAGAAAAAAGAATCAAAGATATAAGTAGAAGATCCAGAAACATTTCAACTTTGTTCCTGATATAGGATACACAGCCATCCATCTCCTTTTCCCAGAAATCTCTTATCCTACAATCCAGAAGATGGGGTATATGTCTTTTTTCCTAAACCTTGACTTACAGGGGAAATGTCTGAAAAATATTAGACTAATTCAAATTATGAGAGATCAAGAATGTTGTCAGGCACATAAAATCTAAGTACCTAAAGCACATAATTCTAGTTACTAAGCTTGAAATCAAACTACCTAGATACTCTCCAAATGTCCTCCAGATAAAAGATAGCTGAGAAGATTAAACAGTCTCTAGAGCCAAAATGCCTAGGTTAAAATCTTAGTTCTACAACTTACTAATTGTGAGGCTTTGGTAAGGATCAATCCTTAGGTATCTCATTTATGAATTGCAGAAAATAACAGTATCTATCTAAAATGGTATTGTGAGGTTTACAATCCTACCTAATATGAACTCCAAAGTGTTACAAAAGCAAGCTGATATAAGTGAGTAGATACTGGATACATACATTTATTTATTCACATAACTATGTGGAGCAGACAAGGCAGTTACTTTGATTGTTATAAGTTATCAAAGAACATGGATTCTATAGTCAAACTACCTGGTTAAAAATGCTCTAACATGACATAACTGTTGTAACCTTAGGTAAGTTGCTTCTCTATGCTTCATTKTCCTCAATTGTGAAAACTGGGGAAATAATACTACAGATAAATCAAGTTTGCTGCAACAACAAGAAATATTCACACTATAAAAGGTCGTCAAACTAAGTACTCAAGAAATGTCTTTTCACATGACAGATGTGACTTTGAGGTTTTGAGAAGGTTTAAGGGACTTGTCTAAGGTCACACATACAACAACCCAGTTAGAAGGCTTATTCTGCCAGTCAGAAGCTCCACCAATTGATTGAAAATGCTTTTAAAATGTCAGATTATGTTGCTACTCTTCATATAACTTAATGCTTATCTTATTCACAGTAAAACTAAAATCCTTTGTGAGGCCTTATCCTACTGCCCCACCTCCCCAAGTCTTGAATCTACTACTCCCCTCATGCATTCATCCTGTCAAACTGCTTTACTTGAACAATAAGTATTTTCTCACCTCAGGGCCTTGGTACTTGTACTTGSGGTTGTCTCCTTCCAGCAATGCTTTCCTCAGATACAAGTATGACCTGTTCCTTTTGTCTACCCAGGTATCTGCTGAAATGTTACTTTCTCAGTTAAGTCTGCCCAACTCCATTTTGGTTGCAATTCCCATCCCACACATACTCCCTTTCTGTGCTTAAATTTTCCCTACAATAACCACCACCATTCCTAATCTACTTCTYGATGGATACTCTTTTCTTCAGAATTTTTGATCTACTTAGTTCATTGCTCTATCCCTAGAACCTAGAAGATGATTTAATCTACAGCAGGTACTCTAGAACAACCTGCAAAAGCTATATTCACCAAACTAAAGCTGTTTTTTTACTTTAACAGACTCCTTGAAAGCTAAGATTTTGCTCTTGTTCAGTTATATCAGCAATTTCTCAGTCAAGTCTGCCCAATCCCAACCTCAGAATGCACAGACATAATACATGTTCACCTATTTAATGTAGAATACTAAACTGATTTATATAGTCACCCCTTCCCCAAAGAAAAGTTTGCTTTTTGATCTTTTTTTTAATGCTTTCTACAATTAATTTACAAAAGTCTTAGTTGATTTCAATTCAAAATTCTTAAAAAGTTTGCCCATAGAGAGAAAGGTAAAAATTTAGTTCCTAGTGCTTCTGGGAATCAGGATTTATATCATGATGCCCCTCTCCAAAAGAACAATTTTCATCAATGACTCCAGTTTCTACTGTAATTTATTGAATATTATTATGTCAAAAAATAATGAAATGTCTCTCCATGTGATAGATGAGGTTTCCAAGTTCCAGGAGGTTGAAGGGCTACCTTTGTTAACCATAATAATCAATCCTAGCATTCTCTTGTATTGGCCTATGCATATGGCAAACTGTCGCACTCCTCATTTGATCTCTTAAAGCAAATTTCATAGAAAACAAGAATTACACTCTGTGTTTAAGTGCTTGCTTGCCTAGAATGCACAATGCCCTGGTTTCCATTCCTTTTTTCAGCTCCACAAAAAAGGTAGTCTGAATTCAGCATGACAGTGGCATGGCATATTATATACAATGAGCTTGTGCTAAGGCAGCTGAATCAGGCTCGTTATCAACAATTTTCTTCTAAAGTCTTGGGAAAAGTTCCCTTGTTAAGAAAACTGATGGTCTTGGACATTAACACTGACAGTATCCACTATATAAATTCCACAAATATAAATTTATGCTTTGTTTTGTATTTACATTTTCCAATTTAACTTTAAACACTTAGCAGGTGGATGTGCATACCAACCTGTCCACAACAGGTCTGGCATAAAACAAATACTTCTTGAGAACTTATTAAGTTCTAGGTAACATACTTTGAATCACATCATTTGAGAGTAAAGATGAATTGGAAGTGCAGACAATATTGGGTATTTTAACAGTATTTAAGCTTTATCCAATAAAAACAGTGATGGAACAATTTCAAAATAACAAAGTACCAAATACCAATCATTGTTTTTATTTTTACTTCCCCTTTCACATGTATTTTCTAGAGATTAGTGTTAATGAATTATCTGGGAAGCATTCAATTTAGCTTTGGAAACACACAGAACTCATTAATTCTGTGCATAAATGGAACAGTTTTTAAGCTTGAAAATTTTTCTTAAAAATGTTTTTAATGGTAAACAAAGTGAAGGCCACAGCTTAAAAAAAGAAAAAATAAGTAATTAAGTCTGTTTCTCTGACAAAATGAAACACCTCTGATTCAGAATCAATACTGATGTAAACCCAAAGACCAATCTTAAAACAAACACCTCTTGCAAATCAAGTTTGGGAATCTAAATTTCATTAAATTAGAAATGTCACAGCAAAAAATCATTTTTGGCTTGGGGTCAGTAGAGGAGGATATTGTTTAATAGGTACCAAGACCCTGTTTTTAATGCCCAGCACCACCTRCCACCTTTCCTATGGATCTTTCTGAGACACTGACAAGAAGTAAAAATGATTTGAAAACCTTAAAGGTAATTTTAAAAGGAGCCACAATGTATAATGGAAGGCCAGACAATACAATAACTAGGAACAGTGTTTTAGAACCAGACTGCCAAGGTTTAAATGAGTTTGTTGCTTGGTGTGACCTAGGGCAAGTTACTCTGTGCTCCAGTTTCATCATCTGTAAAAACATGGAAAATAACAGTATCTACTCTCATTTAGGTTTTACATGAATTAAATAAGTTTGTTCAATGCTTTGAGGAACATCTTATCTTTGGTTTATGCAAATAAGTTTAAAAAGCTTGAATTTAAGAGTCTAACAATGTAAAAGCCACTACTTAAAAAACCTTTGAGRAGTTAACCCCTTCTTTTTATTTATTCATTCTAAATTTTCCATTTTGAATACATTTCATGTAACTATAAAACTRTTTAGATGCTATATCTGAACACTCACCATGATCACCAAGCATAGTAGGTGCTTTCACATCAAAATGTTATTTTAACTATTTTCAAATTAGTGAAAGTAGGACACATAGACTAAATATTTCATTTACACAAAGCATTCTGTATAGAAGGTAGGGGAAACCCAAAACTATCTCAGCTTATTTACAGTGCAAGGGACTAAACAAAGGGTATATATTATTAAAATTAAGTATTATTCAAATATGTAAATGAAATATAGCTGACTCACTCCTCAAAATGCTATACAGCATAAGATTTGTATTCTAATTTTGCCACAGTTAACTCGTTGAAAAACAACAAGAAGCTGTAAGTCTAGTTAAAACTTTTAGAGTCCGTTTTTTCTCTGCTAAGTCATATTATGGGGGGAAAATGCAATTTTCAAATGCCTAGAATAAAATGGTTCAATTCTCCATCTAGCTGAGAAAATCAAATGACTAAGGAGCCCAGAACTGGCTGCACAGCAAAGAAGTGTCAGATTGTTTGGTGGCAAAACTTTCCCCCTTCGCAAGTTGCTGGAAGGGTACACCTACCTCTTTCCTAARATGGCTGGAAACAAATCAAATAATATAGACGCAAAAGAGGGTTGCTACAGGAATATTGTTTTAAAATCCACTTTTAGGTTCTTGTTTTAAGTTTTCCCAGTATAAACATGAAAAACAAAATACTGCTTTTAGTTAAGCAACTATTTGCTTAAGTATGTTTTCACACGGTTGCAAGGATTCTTAACACTAGCTTAACTACAGAAGTACAGTTCGGTTTGTAAGCAGTTAGCTGCAATTCCCACTCTTCTTTCATTCGTCCTCCTAAAGAGAGTCTATAAAATCCGGCAAAAACAAAAACAAAAAACAAACCCCCAAACCAAAAAGCAGGCCTCGATCTTACTTTGCCTCAAGTTTGCAAGTTGCCAATAGGCAGGGGAAGAAAAAAACAAAACCGAGGTGGCTGCTGCAATAAAAGTTCTGGGTAGAGAGAGAAGGTTTAAGGCTAGACAGGGCCAGTTCTGGGACGGTCAAAGAGTGCGACCCTAGCACCCCTTTCTCGATCCTTTTAGGTCCTAAAACTGACAGAAGTAGTAGGTCGAGGCGGGGAACTATATGCGGAAGAAAAGACTGAAGGTTTGCCCSGCCTGACTCCACTGCCCCTCGAGTCCCCAACACCATACCGCCGAGTGCTCAGACAGGAGAGCTAGGCTCCGTCCCAGGGAGAGGAGTAGGAAGGCGCGACCTCAGAGCCTGGGCAGCCGCCACACGCACCGGACCTGTAGAGGCCGCTCGCGCCTTCGCCTCCCGGRGCAACGACGCGCGACAGGCCGCGGCCGCCTTTGCCCCAACAGCCGCGGCCTCTGGGAAAGCGAAGCTCGAAGGCCGCCAGCCTTGCTCTCCACGCCTCCCGCCCCACAACGGATCACTCCTAGAAACGCAAAGTTTGGCTCTCGCCGTTTAGGCCTGAACTTTCCCGCCGGTCAGTGCAGGTCTCCACGGTTTCCCACTCCGCGGCTCCCCGGGTTCCGGCCTCCAGCCCACTAACAGAGACTACTTACTCTGGCTGCTCCCGCAGCAACTGAGTCTCCGCGGCAGCCATCTTGAACTTCCTGACTCCTCGGCGGCAGTAGCGGCGGTTCCCCGGACGGTGGAAGCTAGTGGAAGTGGAAATGGGGGGGTGAAAAAAAGCCGTAGCGCATGTGCAACGCGCGAAGGGGAAAGCGGTACTCTTAACTCCGCGCTAAGAATCCGGATATAAAACCCTACATCCGGGGACGGAGTACGGAGCGTCGTGACGTAACTTCCGGGCCCGTGGGGGCGGTGCCCGTTGAAACTAAAGGCGAGTGATTTGCGGGGCTTGATCTACGGTCAATGTTGTAASGGAGCAGTTCTCGGAACTTGCTGGAGAGGGAAACAAAGGGAGTGGGTTATTCTTTTCGTGTGTGCAGTTCTGAGAGCTAGTTCAGTATGGGCCCAGAGTTGGGTGAATAAATAACATTTTTGTCTCTTCCTTGTTGCTGTTTGATTAGTGGAGGGCTCATAGGCCGGTTTTACTTTTCTCAACCATGATGTGAATTATCTCCCAGGTCCCCTTTTGGTCTTTAATTTGGAGACTAAGCATCCTGATAGGACAGGATAAGTGGGGGAGAAGAACAAGCACACAAGTTTATATATGATGCTAGATTGTGATTTTGAAGCCATTTCCAGACTTCCGCAAACCAAATTTTTAAAGAAGAAAAAACATGTAAGAACATACTGGCAAAAACTTCCTTTAAAACTTCCTCACCAACTATACTTGCATGGTAATACCACTTGGGCGAGCGAAATGCGAAGATTTCAGGGACTCCCCCAAAACTACGTTGCTTTTTGTTTTGGAAAAGTTTTTTTTTTTTTTTAAGCCACAGTAAACATCAACTTAATTAACTCATCAAACGTTTACAAGCGACAGACTGATGCCCAGCATTCTACTCTTGCATCTCTTTCGGAACTCAGGAACACGTGTACCCGAAAGCAACCCCCGTAGGCGCCGTTTAAGCCGGCCGGCGAGGAAGGGACCGACAGCTCAGCGGCGGAAATAGACCCCCGGAAGCCTTCGGAGGTCTAGGGAGGCGCATGCGTGCTAGCATCTTTGGGCCGGCGTGGACGGATCTGATGTGCCACCGGACTTACGGTTCCGGCTGTGCCTGCCTGCTGTCGCGGAGCGCTTCCTGCTTCTTCCCGTTGGTGCCAGCGCGGCYCGCTCCTACCCAATGCGTTTTCTCGCGCGCGCGGAGCTCCCGGCCCGTACTCTTCTACCCCTCAGGGCAGCGGCGCACTTGCCACCGTCTCAGTGAGGCTGTTTTTCCGCAGTCGCCTGTCGGCACCGAGTAGTAGGTGGGTGTAACAGCCCTGGCCCGGGGTTCTGTCTGGCAGGCTCGGCTGGACCCCGCCGCCTCCTGTGTGATAAAGCCGAGACCAGCCCTGTTTGCTAACAGAGACCATGGAAACCACCGCACTTGGCGCCCCGTCGTCGAAAGCAATACAAAAAATTTACTGGCTCGGAGATAAGGTGTTGGGGACAAGCGTGCATTTGTGAACATGTCGATTTTTTTTCCCCTACCGTCTTTGCTTGCTTCCTTTTAAGCATTATTCCAAACGATGCGCATAACAGAAATAATTTGAAAATATTTTTGAATTATGTTCCTCGCGTGGAAAGGGATTAAATTTGCACCCTCTGAGATACGTTGCCATCATCAATTTCAATAAGCCCTCGGCAGGCTCATTTAGTTTGTAACAAAGGCTACAAACTAAAATAAGGAATATCGTAAAATCCTTTGAAGAAATGTATTGGCCCATCTTTAGTCTCCAGATGTCAATTAAGAGAATGTAGATCCCCATTTAGATAATACCTTAACCTGTCTAGTTTAGACCTAGTCCTAAAATTAGGAGCTATTTGTGTGGACATGCTGCAAAATATTAACACGGTTTTTTTTTTCTTTAGTCCATAAAGATGTAATTTAGCTTTATGTTTTTGAAGCAAGTCTGGTGCAATTATGAAGATTATACAAAGCAAAAGGAAAAAACCCACCCTCCATTCCTCACATTGAACCAACATTAATATGTTCGCTTGTTTGGYTTTTTTTTCGTATGAAATATTAAATTGTCTTGCTTTCATGTAAAACGTGATAGTCTGCTTTTTCGTGTAAAGTGTCAACTTTTATGTAATTCTGGTTTCAGGAAAACATTTTTTTACATCTACACCATTTCCCTTATTAGATTTCCAGATTGTTTCAGTTTTGCAGTATTGCATATTCTTATTCACGTTTGGAGTTACCCTTTCTCACTGTTATGCATATATATTAGTGATTTTTTTAAAATAGGCTTATATTTTAAATTTGGCTTCTTGCTGAGGGCAGCAAATAGTCCAGTGTAATGACAGTAGGGTGATTAAGAGAGTAGGAAAGCTAGAAAGAGAGCTTGTGGAATTTGAATTGCATTAAAAATTGCTGGACAGTAAGTTGAGGGGGAGGAGTGACGGATGTGATTTAATTTGTCTTAGAATGTTCACTTGGCTGCTTTCTGGAGAGAAACTGTGGAGGGTCAGAGGAGGAAAGGAGGAATYCAATTAGAAAGTATTTTAGTAATTCCAGTGAGAGATGATGTTTACTTAGACCAGTGTCTAAAARGGAAAAAATGTTTTGATGCTTATGTATTTTGAAGGTATAGGTTATTATATTGTATGTGGGATGTCAGAGAAAGCAACTTAAAAGTTTGTCTTTTATTCTTTTTTTAGCACTGGGGATTGAATTCAGGAGCACTTTATCACTGAGCTACATCCTCAGTTTCTTTTAATTTTTTATTTTGAGAGAATTGTTGTTTAGGGCCTGGCTAAATTGCTGAGGCTGGCCTCCAACTTGGAATCCTCCTGCCTCATCCTCCCAAGTTGCTGGGAATACAGGTGTGGGCCACCATGCCTGGCTGCAACTTTAATTTTTGGCCTGAGCAATTGAATGGATGCAATTGCTATTTAACTGAGATAGACTAAAAGAGAACATTTTGGGTGAGGGGACACTGAAGAGTTCTTCAGTCATGTTTTGTGTTGCAGAATCTATTAGAAGTCTAATTGAAAATTTGATCTTTCAACTATTACTGAGGTATCTATTTGTCTTTTCATTTAATTTTTTTTTGCTATAAATACAGTATCTTGATTCTCTGTTATTAGGTGTGTGTATGCGTATGAATGTTATGTCTTCCTTGTGAGGTGATCCTTTTATTATAAAATGTACCTATGTTTCTCTATAATATTTTTTTATTTTAAAGTTAGTTTGTCTGAACCTAGTTACAGCCATTCCAGCTTCCTTTGTAATGATTTGTACAGTTGATTCAAAAGTGTGTCTCCTTTAGAAATCGTCATGTTGATATTAGCTTTTTGTAAAAAACGTAGTCTAACAGTCTTAGCCTTTTGACTTGATTGTTGGATCCAATCACATTTAGTATTACTGTTATATAGTTGGTTTTATGTTTGTCATCCTTGTTTTGTTTTCTGTATGTTTTTATGTCTTTTTTGCTGTTGTTCCTCTGTCCCTCCTTTATTCTTTCTTTTGCATCCAGTGAATATTTTGTAATGTAGCATTTTAATTTCTTTAGTGATTTTTTTCAATGTTTTTTTCCTAGTTTTTGACTTTATGGTTGCTCTTGTGACTTAATGGTTGCTCCTGCTTTTTGTGGTATAAGTCTTCCAAGTCCAACAATGCATTATTATATTTTTGTATATTTTTTAAAGACAATGAAAGAACAAAGGAGAGCAAATGTATATTTGAAGTTTTTGTTATATTTCTCTTACTTATCATTTTAGTTCTGTTCATTTCTTGTTTTTAGGGACTTCGGTTACCATATTGAATCATTTCTTGAACTCAATACAGCTTCACTCCTACCCATCTCATTTAGGCTATTATTTAAAAAGTGGGTTACATTTCTTTATGTCTTAGGCCTAACAAAACATTTGTATAAATATTGCTTTATAATTGCTTTTTATTTAGGTATATATTTTTATACAGTTTTATCAAGGTATAATTTATAAAATCATCCAATTTAAGTATATATCTCAGTGATTTTTAACAAATTTGTATTTGTCAGTTATCACCAGTTTCCCCAATTTTATTAATRTATAAGTGACAAAATTATATATGAGATGTATAATGTGATATTTTAATATATGATATTTTAATATATGTGAAATAATTGCTTCAAAAATGAATCATTCATATCCATCATCTTAATTTGCTTGCTTGCTTGCTTTCTCTATTCCCTGCTTCCTTTTTCTTGTCTTTATGACTATTCCTTTCTTTTRAAGAGGAGAGTACTTAAGATCTACTCTCTTTCATTTGCAAAACATTAGAAAATATATTGTTATTGACTGTAGTCACCCTGCTGTACATTAGATCTCTAGGACTTATTCTTAAAACTGCAAGTTTTTACCCTTTGACCAATATGCCTGCATTAACCCTACCTTTAACCCCTGCTAACCATCATTCTACTCTGCATTTCTGTGATTTTGACTTTATTTTAGAATCCATATGTCAATAAGATCATGTGGTATTTATCTTTTTGTCTCTGCCTTATTTTACGTAGCAAAAATATCTTCCTGTTTCATTCAAATGGCAGGACTTCCTTTGTAGGGCTGAATAATATTATAGTGTGTGTATGTGTGTGTGCATGGGGTGGGAGTATGTTCACCGCTGAGCATCACATTTTCTTTCTTTGAGTATCACTAGATGCTTGGGTTGATTTTGTGTGTTAGCTACGGAATGCTGCATTGAACATGGAGTACTGGTATCTCTTTGATACAATAATTTTATTTTCTTTGGATATATGTCCAGAAGTGGTATTGTTGAATAATATGGTAGTTCTATTTTTAGTTTTTTGAGGAACCTCCAAGTTGTCTTCCATAATGGTTTTACCAATTTTACATCCCCACCAATAATGTATAAGAGTTATCTCACAAACACTTGTTACTTTTTGATGTTCTGATTATAGCCATCCTAATAGGTGTGAGGTGGTATCTCATTATAGATTTTATAGTATTTCTCTGATGATTACAGCGAAGCACCTCTTCATATATGTTGGCCATTTGTATATCTTCTTTGGGAAATGTCTGTTCAGGTCCTCTGCCTATTTTAAAAAAATAGTTATTTTTCACTATTCACTATTGAGTTGTATGAGTTTCTTATATATTTTGGATACTGACCTTTTTTAAAAAAATATATTTTTGTGGCTCTGGGGATTGAACCCAGGCATGCTGTACCACTGAGCTACATCCCCAGGTTTTTTTTTTTTTTTTTTCTTTTAACACAGGGTCTTTTCTAAGTCGCTTAGCCTGGTCTTGAACTTGTGATACTCCTGCCTCAACATCCTGAGTTGCTGGGATTACAGATGTGTGCTACCACACCTGGCTGATTATTAACTGACATATGGCTTGCCAACATTTTCTCCCCTTCTGTAGTTTGTATCTTCATTTTGTTGATTGTTTCTTTTCCTATATAGATGCTTCTTGGTTTGATATAGTCCCACTTGTCTTTTTTTGCTTTTGTTCACATATCAAAAAAAAAAATCATTGTCAAGATTAATGTCATGGAGCTTTCCTTCTATGTTTCTTCTGAGATTTTCACCATTTCATATTTTACATTTAAGTCGTTAATCCATTTTAAGTGGATACTGTGTAAAATGTAAGGTTAGGATCCAATTTCACCTTTTTACATATGGATGTCCAGCTTTCCCAACACCAGTTATTGAACAGACTGTCCTTTTTCCATTGTTTATTTTTGGCACCTTTATTAAGGGTCAGCTGATAAAATAAAATAGATTTATTTCTGGGCTTTCTATTCTGTTGCATTGGTTTATGTGTCTGTTTTGTGTGGGTAACAATGTTTTGATTATTGTGGCTTCATAATATAATTTGAAATAAGGAAGTGCAATGCCTCTGGCTTTGTTGTTCTTAATCAAGGTTATTTTTAGATATTCTGGGTCTTTTGTGACTCCACATGAGTTTTAGAAATTTTTTTCTATTTCTGTGAAAAACCTCATTGTATTGTACCTGTTGATTGCTTTGGATAGTATAAACATTTTTGACAATATTGATTCTTCCCATCCTGAACATGGAATATCTTTCCATTTATTTTTGTCTTGAATTAATTCCATCAAGGTACTAGATGTTTTTAGTATGTAGATCTTTACCCTCCCTACTTAAAACTATTCCTAAGTTTTTTATTCTTTTTGATGCTATTGTAAATTGGATTTTTTTATTAGTTTTTTTTTTCCAGATACTTTGTTGTTAGTATGTAGAAACTGGCTGACTTTTGCATATTTAATTTTAAATCCTGCATCTTGGCTCAATTTATTTATTATTTCTAATATTGGTAGAATTAGAGTTTTTTACATGTAAGATCATGTCATATGGCAACAACCAAATTACTTTTTCATGTATGATTTGGATGCCTTTTATTTCTTTTCCTTGCTTAACTGCTCTTTGCTTGCATTTCTGGCACTGTGTTGAGTAGAAGGAGCCAGTGTAGGTATCCTTATCTTGCCCATCCTCTCACATCCCTCTAGCTCACAGCTGGGCGCTTCCTCTTTGTGCAGCCTCCTGTAGACTCACATAATGCATGAGCATCATAGTGTAGAGCAGAGTCCAGGGACCCCCTGAAGGATTCTAGAACTCTTTTTCTGTCTACCTCCCTGCTCTCCAGAACCCTACTCTGTGATTCCCAGTTGCTTCAGACTTTCAAAACACCAGCYTCTCAACTTAGTAGGACCTCTATGATCTACTTGAAACTCCCTCTCTTTCCTGTAGTCTTAATGTGCTTTCAGATCAAAAGCTGTGGCAATGATAGGACTTTCTTCATTTGATTGTCTTTTCCGAGGGCCAACAATTCTGTGCTGTTGCCCAACATCTGAAAATAGTTCTGTATTTTGTCCAGTTTTCTAGTTCTTAAGATAGCAGATTAATTCAGATTTGGTTATTCCATATAGCAAGAAGCACAAACTCTCATGACTTTTTAAATGACATAAGCATGGATTCTAAACATTTATTATGTAGATCCTGAAAATCTATCCATTATCCATATCCATTATGTTGTACATTCTGTGTAGTTGGAG